GGGGGGGGGGGGGGCTGCCTTTCCTTTTTGTCCAGAGGTGCTGCCGGACCGTTATTGCACCAATTTTTTTTACTTTTAGATGTTCTGCGAGTCACTTAAAATGAAGCTGTAAAGGGTTTGGTCATTGTCTGAGACTATTGAACCTCTTTTAAATAATTGCTAAGTAATTCACAAGAATTAAACGTTCTGAAACAAGGCAACAAAAAAAGAGATTTGATTTGTTGTCATGACATGGATGACAGGAATTACGGCAACGTCGAAGAGAACAAACAGTTTAGAAAAAGGTTCACTTTTCCAAAGTAAAAGGATTCTTTGTCGACCGGCCATCATTAAGGACTTCAAGCGTAAAACAGAAAAATAGCGCATTCTTATTTTGTATTTAAAATGAAAAACGACAGCCTGGAATTACAAAGATGTTCTAAAGAAGGTCATTGGCCACTTTGGCTGTTTTTCCTTTCAGTTTTAATTTTAACATACAAGTTGGAGGTGTGGGCGCACGAAAAAAGTGTTGAAACAGCCGTGGAGGTACCAAAATCGGAACATTTTCTGAAATAATATCGCAGACGGGCATGAGTCCTTCAAAGACCACCATTGGTTTTATAAAACTTTATTTTTGTTTTCAGATCTCGAATTACAGATTAAACCAGTGAAATGAGTCACTCACCGCGTCAGAGTGGGTCTGAGAACGTTTGTGGGTTCGCGAGAGGATATGACTCCAGATAAAACTGATGGATGCTATTAAGTCGAGCTTGCCTCTGGAGCCGACATCTCAGTTCTGATTTACGTTGGGTAGGTTTTAGATAAATCGACAGATCAATCCTTTTAACCCACAATATTTTAGATCTTTGAACTTTGCAGCTTTGGCAACCACCGCTTAGTATCCAAAAGGCAATTTTGGCAGCGACGCACTGATTTGGCGTAACCTGCTTCGCTTACGGAGAGGCTCCACCCGAAAAGAGCTCTTCCAGCCAGTGTTCCCATATATAAACGGGTAGGGATTTTGTGAGTTGATTGAAGTGTATGAAATGGTAAACACATTAAGAATTCTGCAATGCTGATCGTACTCAGGAGCCGATCGACTGCTGTCATACTACGATTAGCATAGTACGTAGTACACACTGAGTGCATAGTAGTATTATCAGCATTGCAGAATTCTGAGTGTGTCTACTTCGTATATTTTTGCTGATCTGGTCTTCTTTAGATACTACGTTTTGCGGCACATTCGTTCGGGGTCCCTTGCAGTTGATGTTCATTAAGTACTATGAAATGACAGAGGTTTTTTTTTCCCTCTCCTTCCTTAAAATAGTTTAAGCCGATGCACTTTATAACCGCATGAACTAGTTGCTGTCAGGAGCTTGTTAGTGAAAGGGATAAATTTTTATTTCCATAAGGAAAATACAGATGGAAGGGGTATCTTTTCCGCACCGTTATTGCACCTATTTCAGTTTTACTTTCAGATTTTCTGCGAGAGTCACTTAAAATTAACCTGTTTCTAAGGGTTTGGTCATTGATTTGATTTGTTGTCATGACCGGGATGACAGGGATTACGGCAGCGCAGAAGAGAACAAACAGTCAATTCAAAAGTATATCTACTATGTTGTTGTATTGTGTACAGTATTGAAAAAAGTTCACAGAATTTTCATTTCCCGTGAGAAACTAGTGCGCGATCTTTGTCTACTGTACACACAGTTGTGAATATTCAACCTGCTAGATAGAATGTATATTTTTTTATGAAAAAGATTCCCGACTCCTATCCCCACTAATCAAGTTGACCAAAAAAGGAAAGTTTAAACGCTGCTATTGCTAAAATCGGATTGTGGTTCATCCAAAAGATTTGGGGGTCAACAACATGCCTTAAAATAGCTCACAGAAGTGCGGCATAACTTTCACAAGTATACAATTGCGAAAAATTAGTGATCTCCTTGTGCTTTATATTACAGACGTTACACCACGAGTCTGACAAACGATTTTAAAAAGTTCACTCTTGTACAATGCTCTAATTTATGTAATTCTAACAGACAGATGATAGACTAGGATATATATGTGTGAAGATGACCGGAAACAAGATCTCTCTGTCACTATAGAAACTTTAGTTTAAAGGCGTTGAAACATGACAAATCTGCTAAGCTCATTGGCCAAAGACTTAAAGACAATGAATTGAAAAGCCAGATAGATCAATCAAGAGTCACACCATTTGCGTAGACTATTATCTGGATGACTGGATAAAGGAATTTATGTTTATGAGGTTGCGATAAATCTTTCGTTCTCTTTGGAAAGTAATTATTTTAGCTGTCACCCGTCGAAGTCACTTGGACACCGGAAATAACTGAAATTTGTGCGTTTGGCGTGAATGGTACTCTGTTTACTGCTGGTTCAGTGACTCAACGCACGCTACGGACAGCGTCACATCATAGTCTAACTCACGCTAGATTTTGCAAGCAACCGCTACGTTTGTCTGACTTAGAGCAAAAGCGCCGGTTGGTAAACAAAGAGTTGTATATTGATTACAGAGTTAACCACGAACGATTAAATGTTTAGCAGGAGCGGACGAAACAACAGAGGTGGCCAAGTTTTCGATGAAAATGGCCAAGACATGCCAAACCCGAATCTTCTTAGCCCAAATTCCTCGATGAAAAGTCTTGACGTGTCGTCGGCTTCGGACAATGAATCGTGGGCGTCTGAAGATTCTTATCCCGAAGAGTTACCTTCTCCACCAATTCAGTGGAAATCTGAAATTCCGTTGACACCTGATCGTCGTCGAAGCTCGATCAAAAAGCCACAATTCCAGCTCGACCCCGTTGCTGTTCAGCTGAATGAATTCTACGAGAATCGCGTCAGGATAAGCTTGGAGCGTAAAGAAATCTGCGAAGAAATTGCCTACAACTCAGTGCATAAATGCCTGCGAAAAATACAAATGGTGGACAACAGATTCCGCGCAAACAGTTTAGTGTCGCAAGGGATCCCGTATGACGGTCTGCAGGCAGAAGAACCCATTCAGATGGACATGCTAGTGCAGCTGTCCCCGGGCTACAGCTCTGCAATGTACACCGCATGCGACGAACGCACGGGCGGTATTCGCCTGCAGCCGAGCTCTGAAGACTACAGTGTTTGGGAAGACTGCATCACCGCTAATGGTTTTTTATCAGCTGGAAAGATCAACTCGCTTTTGCGACGGTACGTCAAAAAGGCGGTAAAGATTTTGAACCTTCACATTAAAGATAAGCGCGCGGAAAAGCTTCCGAAGCATCTGAGTAGCATTGCAGTCGAGAAAGGCCCTGTAATTCGATTAACCATCAACAAGGACATTTCCGTTGATATTCTTCCCGCCTTCGTTATCCCCGATTCGCGGACCGATCCTTCCCGCAGGGACTGTCCCTCATCCTCTCACGCCGTCTGCAAGCCTTATGTTCAAAACGAGATGATCTGGCGGCTGTCGTTCTACGTGGCGGAGAAAAATCGTGTGCGTGCTCTTAGCGATGGTTGTCGCGTTCAGCTCCTGCGGATTCTAACGGAAATCAGAGACAACGAGGATCAGCTCAAAAAACTTTCATCCTATCATGTCAAGACCCTTCTCTTTCACGAATCCGACAAATATCCGGACTTTCACGAATGGAGTGCCGACAAAATCACACAGCGGTTTTTTGGCCTCTTGGAGCGCCTCAAGAAAGCGTTGAAGGACGGCAACCTACCACACTATTACATGCAGCCGCCAGATTTTGAGCCGGTGAATTTATTCGCCGATCTGGACGGCAAAACTTTGTCGGACATGTTAGATGTTGTTGAAGATATTATGGCAAATCCCTTGGACATACTTAGCACTGTTGGACGAGAGAGAAGGCAGACGATGTGGCCATGGGAGATGGGACTGTTTTTGCCTGCCGGACTGGCCTCGTAAATCGGGTAAGGTTCTTTTCAAATATTACTCTTTGTCAAAACATATCATAAAACTGCTAACACTTAGAAAGTATGGTCAGTAAGAATTTTTTTCTTCATTTAGTTCTTACGTAAAAAAGTAAAGTAAAATATGAAACTCTCCTAGCACAACCCCGAAGAAAAGTGCAATCGATGTTTCTTATTTGAGCATTACTACACCTCAGAGTACTGTAGTTCGCGGCGAAGTTAAAATAGTTAATACCCACCAGTCCGAATAAATCAAACTTTGCTTATCCCTTTTACAGACTATCCTTATGACTTGATTTTCGCTGTAGCCGTTATGTAGTTTGCAAGTATTTTTCCGTGTAACCATTAAATTGTAATAAATAAATAATAAATAAACAGATAAACATAAAAAAGAACGCCATACGATGACTGAAATTCATCAAGCCAGTATTACATCTTTAGAACATCGTTTTAACTAAAATTTTGCTACGTTGACCTACCACGTACAATTTGAAACTGAGAGAAGTGCCTTAGTAATATAATAGAATTCGTTGCTTTTCATTAACGATTATTGATATTGGTCAACTTTGGAGCAATTTCCATCAAGTGAACTGTTATTTACAAAATACCCAACTAAAAAAACCCTGACGAAATTTTTCTGGTTAATAGCATAAACACAGTGTACTACAGCAAGGAAGCTTTTCACTTTTTAGAAATGTTCATTCATTTTCATGTCCGCCTAACCTAAAGGTTAGAATTAGCAACAAGAGATTTTACACGAGGTAAATTAAGCTCTTGCCATATCGTATCAGACTTGACCTTTTATCACTTAAAACAACATAAAACCCGTAAAAGAAAATAAGTCATTAATTAGGTTTATTGTTTTTCTAAAATAATCTTTCGCTCTACAGTCGCGAAGCCGAAGGCAATTAGAATATCCTCGAAATCACTTTAATTTGAAATTTCTTGTTAGCTTCTCATTTAAGAAATACGTTAGTGATTAGCAGTTAAAATGTGCATTTTGATAACAAAATCGAGCAATTACAAAAGCTATTATGATACGTTTAAAGGACACATGTTTTTGTCATGAAATGCAGCATTATGTTTATAAATTTAGGAAATTTAGTATTCGCGTAATTTGTACGAGTAAAGAGAAAAGAGAAGTAAAAAATTCATACGTAATTTACCAATTCTGCCACCTAATTAATGAACGACTGTTACTACATTTCAAAGTACAACTTTTGTGACAAGAAGTTTCAATATTGAAGCAGCACTAGTCAGACAAGTCCAATATCTTTAGTTTGCTTAGAAAACAAAATAAAGAATAACCTTAATTGACTTAAAATTTCTGACATAAGTGGCATATTTCTCTGATATGGAATTCAAAAAATGCGATTTTTGACAAAAGAAGGTTTTTCATAAATTTTGGCCAAAGGTCTGTACAATCTGTGTCTCTTTATGCAGACAGGGAAATGTATATTCCAACAAAGTGCTTCTCTCTGTGGGTGGCGTCACAAACGTTTCATTTGCTTGTCACATAGTCACGCAGTAACGCCAATAATGTCTTTACCACCGGTCATGCACATAACTGTAAAAATTGAACGGGCTTTATTGAGCAAAACTCTTTCGTGGTTTATTATACTATGCAAGATGGTTGTACTGGATACTGCGCGATGTACAAGTTTAATTTGGGTCTGTATGACCTTGAGGTTATACAGTGAGGTTCTATATGCAGTAATACTGTTTATATCATCTTGAACATACATACTTTTTTCTCAGTATATTAATTTAGTCTTCGGCTCTGACACCTCTTGTACAAACTACTTCACTACTTAGTTTTTCTACACATTACTCTATTCTAATTTTCTCTAGTATATTTTAATCTTTTCAGAATTTCGACGTGACACATCACAAAGGCTGAAATGAAGACCTCAGTCCAGTAACAGTACAGCGTGATGCAGTCAGAGCTGGAATTTACACCACTAAATGAACAGAGGATTTTGTTTCTCATGAACTTTTGTAAAGAAACACAACATAGAATAACTAGTTGCACTAATAGTGTAGTCAACACAGAGAGGTGGAATAGTGAACATTTTGCTGAAAACATTAAAAAAACATCCCTTAGTAAGCAACTTACTGAAACCTCTATTTATGGTTCAGACAAGTCCAGTCCATCCCTCCTGCTCAAAATCTGTCAGGCATATTAGAGCTGAATAAAGTGTACAATTTGTTTCTATAACCTGCCCTTTGCTTTAAAAGGCTGTTCAAGAAATGTATTCTTCCCTTCAAAATATTTTCAAGAGGCTATGGTAGCAGTTACCACGTGGGAAAGCATTCTTAAAACAAAAGTCAGGAAAGGTGGTATTCCTCATAGGCCAAACATTTTACTTCAGGATTTATAAAGAAGAAAACATATATTTTTAAAGGGCTGAAAGAATGGATCAGCATAATTCCGGGAAAATGCTCACCCACCCCTTCCCAAACTCAGCATTTTCTCCCAAGTGAGAAGTTAGTGTCAATATCAGATTAGGGGGGAGGGGGAAGGGCAGCTTCCCAGAGTCCTAAACGTCTCTGAAAGAATAAGTAAAATAGCTAGTCTGCGAATACAGCTATCATTCCACACTCCTTGCTGCTAGAGATGTTTACTGTGAGGAGCGTCTGCGCCTCAGGGACAGGACTTCTCCCATGAAACATCCCAAGTGAGGTGAAGCAAGGAGAGACAGCTGTGTTCACAGGCTAATAAATATCTCACCACACTGCAAACTGTTGCCAACGCACGCCTCAATGAGAAAACTCACAAACTGAAAATTGTTTAAGGGCAAGGGGGAACATTCAGTTTTTGAAACTGGCTGTCAAATAAGCTGCTTGTTTTGTTGCTTTGGAATTATTGAGTTCCGTGAAATTGCAAGTTAACCCTTCCTTAGATACCGCATGTAAAACTCTGGTCATTTGATTCAGTACTGGGAATTTACTTCAACTAATGTACTCTGTTTCATAAAATTAAATTCCTTTTAAATTTTCTATATTTTTCCACAATATTAACAATTTAACCTACTAAGAGAAGGATATAGTGTTTCTGGAGTAAAATAAATTATTATGTAGACTGAAAATATTGTTAGTTTTTATATCATGTCTGGTCTTTGTGGCATACACATGTTGTAGTGAACTTGCTGATTCCAAAAGGCTGCTCCTTTCCATCCACACCAACCCTTAAAATAAAATAAGTATTTTTATATTGTAAGAGTGATTTTTATGTGCGAGATAAACTTTCTAAAAGTCCTTTATTATTTTTCCTGGTTGCCATTTAAAGGACTTGTCATATTAGTTTGGCACGAAATTCACCAGTGGAAAATTCCACAGGTGACATCATGACAAATGACCAATAGGAGAGGGAGTGATAATTGACGCCAGTCCCAACATAGCATACGTCAATCATTTATATGTGACAGTGTAAAAGTTTTAACTATCAGAACAAGCCAGAAAGACAAGTCCAGTGATAAAGAGAATTCCACTGTTTATCAGGATTATCTAGCCAGATCAGTCTCCTCCTAAATAATAAGCATGAGAATGATGGGTTTAAGCAACAATTACTAGACTAATATTTCACTTTAAATTATCATTCTGACCAGCCAGTTCTGACTTATGGTAAGTGCCCCAAGTGACTCAGGCTTGGACTGAATAAAAACGATTCTACATTAAATCACCTCCAAATTTTCAGCCCTTAGTTCCACCACAATGGAGAGATCTATACAGTCAAACCTCCCATAAAAGAACAGTTCTCTTTGGCAGAAACTTAGTCATGGTAGCAAGATTTCCACCATGAATACACAAGGATAAAAAGAAAGCACTAAGTGTGTCATATTTCCCCTTTGCTTCAGCTTGTGTTGTCAACCTAACACTCCCGACTCTTTAGCTACAAAAGTCATTATTTTATTTAATTTCCTCTATGACTAACTGACCTTGTCAATTACGACTTTGAGATCCTCCCCACCAGTGTAATGTGGATCAAGGATTAAAAATCTGTAAAACAAATTAAATAAGTAATACTTTCAGCACTTTTGTACTTAATTAAGTTCATGGCATTTCACTATGACACCCAATAACATCACTGTTGCCACTACCCATTAATCTGTATGCTTCTATACCACATTATAGTTCATTATTATTATTATTCATTATTATTATTATGGTTCAACATTATTACTCTAACTTTTAAATCAGTGGAAGAAATCCTATGGTGTTAGTTTCAAATGGCAAAAACTCTTGGGCATAACCTTTGCATGTCACAATTTATTGCTCCTGTGATTTCAAGACCCATGTACACATACTGACGTTTATTTCTTAACTTCGTAAACTTCCAGTTGAAACTGTGAGAACTTGGTGACATGTTTATTGCTAGAACAAGGACAACTTAGTTTGAACTGCTTCTTGTCTTCTTTAATTGACATAAGAAAAAAACTTGCACCAACTAAAAGCAAAACATAAAGACTAAACTTTAAAGCACCTAAATAATATAGTGCTTTTGCATGTGCCCTTCTAGTTAGATCTAAAAATGACAGCGTATTAATAACTATAGCCTGTGAAAAAAGCTGTCTCTTCTTGCTTCTTGCTGCCAGGGATCCATTGCTCTGGGAGGGACGTCTGTGCCTCAGCGACAGGAATTCCATATTGATGATGAAAACATCTTTCCANTAGTTCATTATTATTATTATTCATTATTATTATTATGGTTCAACATTATTACTCTAACTTTTAAATCAGTGGAAGAAATCCTATGGTGTTAGTTTCAAATGGCAAAAACTCTTGGGCATAACCTTTGCATGTCACAATTTATTGCTCCTGTGATTTCAAGACCCATGTACACATACTGACGTTTATTTCTTAACTTCGTAAACTTCCAGTTGAAACTGTGAGAACTTGGTGACATGTTTATTGCTAGAACAAGGACAACTTAGTTTGAACTGCTTCTTGTCTTCTTTAATTGACATAAGAAAAAAACTTGCACCAACTAAAAGCAAAAC